GGCTCCTCGTCCGCGGGCCTGCTCTGGCTTCCCGCTGGCGTCCATCACCTTGAGGTGCACGTTCTGCCCTTGCTGGGTGCCGGGAAAAGATTTCACTTGTGAAAATAAAATAATAAAAGCATCCACCTCGCTTAAAGGAGTGTGCCAGTATGGTCGCTTCTCCTGCCTCGCGCTCTGTGAGGAAAGGGTAGGGCGCTSTCCTGGGCGCCTCAGCCCCGGCTCACTAGGGCGCTGGTGCGGTGCTTTTTGGGGGGTTTCTTACCTGGTGTCCAAGGTCGGGGGCGCTTTTCCAGTCCTTGGGGTCTTCCTCCTTTCCTCCTCCTTCCCTGTGGATTTAAAATTAACCTGCTGCTGTCTGCTGGGAGCTCTCGCGCCGTGCAGGAACTGGCTGGGGGTGCGCAGGTTGTTTCCTCTGCCGCTCCAGCATGGCCTGGAGTGGTCTCCCTTTTCCCCTTGGAGCTCGGTGAGAACTTTACGGGATCCCCATCCTTAAAAAATTCAAAATGTGTTTGGATAAGGCCCTGAGCAAGCTGCTGGGCCTGTCTGCCTTGCTTTGCACAGCAGGTTGGACTAGAAACCTCCGAAGGTCCCTTCCCACCTTGCCTCTCTTTAGCTCCTCTGAACTCCTCTGTTCCTTCTTAGACATCATTAGCAGTGGGGTTGGGGACAGAAATGCAATTTCATGTTTTGAAACTAGCTGTAGATCTCCTTGATGTGCTGAAGGCTGCTTCCTGAAGGAGGATGGATATGCCCCTCCTGTGCTCTTAGGAAGAGGATGTGCAGTGGCATCGGCGTCCAGCCATGGAGACAACGCATGGGTAGGACAAGCAACGTGGCGGAGAGGGATTTCRTTACTAGGTCTAGGTTTGGAAGGGAGCCATAGGAGTGCAATCAAATCCCRGGGTTTTGAATGCAACAGTCTGCTTCATTCTAGTGGAATAAATGTAAGCACCTGACTGCAAATTTCCCTGGATTAATCAAGATGCATTTGGGCCATGAAAATGGTGGCTGATCGCCATCTTATTCTAGGTACTGAAGGAGCTGCAGGCAGGAACCCTTTTCCTTTGCAAGCTGTGGTCTGTCACTCCCTGTGAGCAAACCTTGCTACCTGGCTCTTTGGTGCAGGGGCTGAGCACGTACTGTGACTGTTGAGCCAAGCTTTCTTATCACATCTCTAGCCTGGCTAATAAATCAGCTAGCACGTAAGTATTTATGAAGTGCTCAACTCAAGTTTACTGCTGAGCCTTCATCAAACAACCAACGTGCTCTCAGATCCTTCTTTTCATAATGCCTCTTGCAGGTGTAGGAAGAAAAACACGTCTGTCTCTTCTGTTTATTGTAGGTGTCATGTGGGAACCACCTGTTCTGCGTGAAAGAGAAGGAATGAATCATCTGATAAAGAGGAGAAACAAAACACCTGGTAGATGGAAGCCATGAAGATATCAAAGCGGTTCTTTGCTTTTGGGATTTTGGCCTGCATAGCTATTTATGTGGCATACATGAAATGGCACTTGGACTCCAAACCAGCCTTAGGAGAGACAGAAGGAATCACTGAAAGGAGAGACAAGTCGACACATCAGGCAGTGACATCAGATCTCTCAGTCTTTTATGGGATTATGTTTGATGCAGGAAGCACTGGAACTCGCATACATATCTTTAAATTTAAACAGCAGCCGAAAGGTATGATTCCTCGTAAAGAATGGAGCACGTTATTGATACTTCTTTCCYAGGGACTGCTTGCACAACTGTGTTCCAGCTCTTCCTAGAGAACCATTAGGACAAATATTATGGTTCAAGTATGTGGGTCTGGATGAAATGCATTATAAAAATATGGGAAAGAAAAGGCAGTAATGCCAGAAAGCTAAACGGTGGCGGTAGAGCAGCCCTTAGAGCACTGTCCTGAGGAGGAGCAGTTTGCCATTACATTATTTGGTGGAAGAGAGGAGCAAGTCTGAAATGCTGTATTCCCAAGGATTCTCAGCACAAGGCTGTTTTTTGTCTGTAGTTTCTGTCAGGGAGTTGCTTCTCCCCGAGTTGTCTGACTTTGCACAGTCTTGTATTTGGTGGGGTTTTGGCATTTAATTAAAATTCAGTTTTGGCCTGGGACAGGAAATATTGCTGACACACAAGACAGGAGTGGACAAAAAAGCTCTGGTTTTCTGAAGGAGTTGCAAGCTTTATTTGTTTCTATTCCTGTCTGTGAAACTTAAAGATGAAACAACCCATATAAATGCTATTAAATAGGAAATCCAGAAGATCATTATGGGGATTAGCAGTATGGTGTGTGTTGTTGGTCTGTAGGAACCATCTGAAGTATGCGGGATAACCTGAGCATAAGGTTTAGCAACAAAAGATGTTAAACAACAGCCCACACGTAGATTTAATTGATTCTTTTCACTTACTCACAAACTTGGGTTCTTGCACACCTAATTCTCTTTAAATACAATTCCCATAATTCCAGAATATTGCAAGAAACTTTCTAGAGTTTACTTGGGTACAGGAGAAAGCTGTTGTCAAGCTCTCAGAATCTTGGCTGCAGAGCTATCTGTCCTTCAGGCTTCCAAAATATTTAGCCCTTGTTCCTTTTTGCTACCGCTGAAAGCAGCGGTAAAACTTCTCTGACTTTGCTGGCGTTGAATTCAGCCAAATTGCAGCCTGTTGGGAAGTTTGGTTCATGTTTGGGAAGGTGCACGTGGTGAAGAAAAGGCACAGGAGGATTTGCAACCATCTGATGATTTGTGTGATGAGCATTAAAAAAAAAAAAGAAAAAAAAAAAGAAAAAAAAAGGCAGCTTAGTGAGCACCAGCACTTGGAAAATAATTGTGATTTTAAAGAGTGCTTTGGCTTTGGGCTGATTCCACAGCAAAGCCTGTATTTTAAAGGCAGGGTGGCCTTTGCTAATTCTTTAGGCAAATGCTTCAGATAACTGCCATTAGCATATATATATATTTTATTGAATGCAAAATGATTTGTTCTGTTGCTTATTTTGAACAGAGACTCCCAAGTTAACCCATGAGACGTTTAAAGCACTGAAGCCGGGCCTGTCTGCATATGCTGATGATGTTGAAAAGGTAACTGCATGTCTTTCACTGTCAAAATGTGTGYCCCCATCCTCCTGCTCCCGATATGCTCTGCGAGTTGCTGCTTGCTGTGGTGTGGTTCACTGAACTGCCTCAGTGCAGGAAGCTCCAAGAAGGTGATTCCAAGTGATACCAGCCCGCAGAGAAAGCTGCTCAGTGCTCAGAGGACAAGAAGCCTATCTATACATGCACATCTAGTTCTAGGCTGTGAATTGAGCACAGYAGATGATTTTTCACATCTCTGCTGCAAGATTTACTATGCACTTCAGAATATAAAAAGAAGAGTCTTGCTGAATTGGAACACAGCTTCTCCAAGAGYGACCAGAACGAGATTCCCAAGGAAAGAATCTATAAATCAGGTCAAGTGTTAAGCGACTTCTCTCCTGTCTCCCTTCTTTTCCGGCTGGCAGCGATCTGGTGCTTCCTGAGCCAAAGCTTCCTCCCGGTTCATAGTGTTTTATTGGCTTTGAAGACCTTTGGATTTGTCTCAGCGYTTTGAGCCTTTGGGAGCACATTTAGTGGCAAAGAGTTGCATGACACCATGCAAAAAAATAGCACTTCCTGTTTGTTTTTGACCTGTTTCTGGGTAATTCCAGTTGTATCCCCAGWTCTTATGCTGTGTGAGATAGTGACTTGACCTTTTCTGGACTCCTTGTGATGTTCCCTTGTCCATGTTCAACATTTGCCACGAGTCCTACCTTTGAATTCCCTTTCAGCCTTACAGAGAAGAACCTTTCAGAATGTCTGAGATGCCTTTTTTGTTCTTTCTGTGCTCACAGAGTGGCCAGGGCATAAAAGAGCTCCTGGAAGTAGCAAAGAATGAAGTTCCCATGGAGCTGTGGAAATTCACTCCTCTGGTCCTGAAAGCAACTGCCGGCTTACGGTTGTTGCCAGGAGAGAAGGCTCAGAAGTTGCTGGATAAGGTACTATTTTGTTTCATTTTGCTTTCCATAAGCTGTATAGCAAAATTAGCCCCCYCACCACCCATGTGTAAGACACAGAAGCTCCTTTATGTTAAGGAATATGAGTCATTGCTACTGTTTAACCCTGCGAGAAATGCAGAGCTACTTTATCTCAGATGGGGTGAGAAATTGTAGGAGTGCAAGAGCACAAGAATGATGACAGCTCCTGGTAAACCTGGAGATGGCAGTAAACATCAGCCACCCCRGCAAGGGTGATGAGACACATCTGACAGTTGTCCCAGGCTTGTTGCTGCTGTGAGTGCTGGTGGCTTTGGCCAGGACCTTGCTATTCTTGGAGAAACTCTGCTACTTGATTTACCACGTTAGCAGCTTGTTGCCGTGAGATTGCTCTGTTTTATGGTTGCTTAAAAATAATGCGTGTTGTATTTATAGGCATGTAAAATAGAATTCATCTCTAAAAGAATATAAAAAGAAATCAAATATTATATCCTAGGAAGCTGTGGGAGAAGTTCATTTGTTCATTCTGCTAGTTGTAGTCCTTTGTAGTCCTGTTCCTCTATATTTCATTGTATTCTCAGTGACTGTGAAAGAAGAAATCTGATTAACTGCCTCTGTAGCCTAATGAAAATGTTTTCAGTGTTGATCAGGAAAATGTTGAAACCAATGTTTCAAAAAAAAAAAAAAAAAAAAACGATTTCTCTGAATGTATCTTTTACCTGAATTGCAGGTGAAGGAGATTTTTCAGGCTTCCCCCTTCTTTGTGAGGGACAACTGTGTGTCCATAATGAATGGAACGGATGAAGGTAGGTGAACTTTTGGAGGCCCCTTCTGAATTCCTGCATCCCTGCCCGTCTGTGACAAGGCATCACTGGCTGTTGTGGGAACCCACACGTGATTACTTTTATGTTTCTTGGGGCAGTGCCAGTGACAAAGAGATTTTGTGCTGTCTTTTTCAATGGGAAGTCTGGAATTCTAGCCTGATTTTTAAAGCAATGAGTGTCTGGCAATTCCTGTGGGATGTCTGGAAGGCTGCTAGACAATCAGCACTTCTGGAAAGTTTCAATATATATTGAGATAGTCTTCAACACCTGATTTTTTACGTCTGGTGCTTGACAATGCATCTCTAACTTCTCTGAAAGTAATTGGTCATAATGTAAATTYTGACTGATCTAATGAGTATGAATGTTAACTGATCTTGAAAAAAAAAAGTTCTCTAGAAAAGAAAACATATTGAATTAAATTGCCAATCGAGAAATAAATGCTGAGGACAGAACCTAGAGTCAGTCTTGCATTCAAAAGAACTTGAAGGAACATGTCAAAATTCTAAACACATTGCAGATCTTTAGGTTTTGTTTAGAGTTCATTGATAGTTCATTAACTTTGTGACAGCTTTGGTTCAGCCAAAGATTGAACTGGAGCTTGTTCCCCAGCAGGCCTCTAGTTTCAACAAAATGGATAGATATTTTGATTTGTTAATATAATACACAATAATTTATTTTATTTATGGGGGGGAAAGTCTGGTAAAACAAGAGAAGAATAGAAACAGTACTATTCACAAAAAGGCTGGAAAGAAAAAAGGAAAAATTAAAACATGTAAAAATGAAAATTCTGAACATTCAAAAGGAAAATCAAGTGCCTTACAATGAATCAAAGTCCATCAGATAGACACCCTTCCGAGACTTCGAAATTAGTTGTAGCCCATTTGTGAAAGGGGGAAAAGGGACCTTGTGGCAGGCAGTTTCTGACGTCTTTTTCTGTGTTTTGTAAGCTCTGATATGTGGGTTATTTTATTTATATGATTCATGTAAACTGAGAAACCTTAAAAATGCCTCCAGCAAAACATATCCTAAATAGGAAGATCTTTTATTGTGGCTTATCTGATATTATTGACAGATGCAATGAAATGACATGATATAACAATGCATCTTTTGATTCTTKTCCTAATTAGGCATTTCAGCCTGGATCACAATCAATTTTTTAACAGGTATGGTTGCCTGAGCATGTGCATAAAGGTGCCTGATTCTGTGAGATTTATGCTGATTTCTGCTCCAATATGGGATTTGATCATTATTTGAAAAAGAAAGAAAAAAGCAGGGGTGGAGGAGTGGGAAGGAACAATCATTCTTTGGCCTGGTCCATTTAAGCCATTACAATTTTGGCCTTTCTAAGAGGGTGAGGAATTCTGTCCCTTTTCCTAGTCAGTTTTGTAGTCTTTCTTTTCATTAATTCCCTGCATGTAGTCTTTCTTTCAATTTTCCCTGGAAGGTAGCAGAGCACTTTGTTCCTTTTTAGAGTCTGCCCCTTGCTCTTTAGTGTGGAATTTTTGGATCTATAAGGAAGTATTTTTCTTCTATAGCACAGAAATAGCACTAGTGTTTGTACTGGTGAGTGAGTGTTTATTTATTTATTTATTTATTTATTTATTAAGATGCTGAAGAAAATAAAACTAAAACTTTTTTCTGGGAGAGGGAGAAAAAAAGAAAACATAAACCAGTCTGCTATCCAAGTACTCTGTTCATCACACAGATTGTCCTGAGCCCTATACAAGTACCCTAAAAGTTTTTAGGATTGCAGGAAATACCAGGAAGGTTGGACCACCAACAACCAGCTTTTACACCAGCTTTAAACGCCAGCTCTCATGAAGTATACTGAGGTGTTTGGCATAAGTCAGTCTTGTCAGAAAGATGATGCTTGAAGGGCCTAACTGAGAAGAACGGGATTTAAATGAGAAGTGAGGTGGTCTCTTAGGCCAGCTCTTTTCAGCCACTTATTCCCAGATCCGTAGGAATCTGGAAAGTACCACTAAAGGGTCAGACAAGGTAGCCAAGAAAACCACATTCTTCTGTGTTACGGAGCAGTTACCAGAGTGAAATGTGTGAAAGGAGCCTTATGTTCATTGAAGAAAATGCATAGGAATCCACTAATCAAAGCTGCTGTAACTGGGGCATGAACAGTCATCACAGAAGTAAAAGAAACTCTTACTGAGAAGGCTTTTGGGTGACCCTAATTCTGATCTGCTACTGACAGGAAGCTGATGGATGGAGTTAGACATTTATGGTTTTATTCATTTCTAGTTTCCTACTTCTTGCAGTGCCCACTGTGGTGTTTTCTTGTTTGTTTGCTTGTTTTTCTTCTTTTTCCTGTTCTTTCTCACATTACAGGCAGCTTAAATAACCCACAGAAGAGAAGTGTAGGAATGCTGGATTTGGGTGGTGGATCAACACAGATCACCTTCCTCCCACGCACTGAGGTAACGTGAACCTGCTCATTGCAGCAAAACGCCAGTGCTCAACCAGTAAGTGCTATGATTTATTTCCCTTGGAAGCGGACACAAAGTTTGTCATTGGCACATGAAGCCCCGCTTCTGGTGGAGCAGTCCAGGTCACTTTGTCACGTTTCCCGTGGTGTGCTCCCAGGGGTGTTCGCAGCTCTGTCAGTACTTCTGCTCCAATTCTGTAGTTYGGTGAATGTTGAAATTTTGGAGTGATGAGGTTAGCAGAGGAGCAGTTAGGCAAGAAKAGCAGCATGGCCTGAGCTTCAGCCTCTTTTTATACTCTCGTTTCTGCAGGCAGGGTCTCACCCTGTGCCTTGGCAAGCACAGTGAGGTGCTCTGCCCCTGGCTTGTGGGGGATCACAGCTGAGTTCACCTGAGTAGTGAGTTAATGCCTGCTCAGGTCTCCTATTATTTTGCAGAGATTTTTACATTGTAGAGATCACTTGACAGGCAGTTTCTGTAGCCTTTTAGCAAAAGCTGTTAATGGCTGAAATAAGGATTCCTTCTTGATTAGTTGGATGTAGATAGAATTAGAAATATGACCGGATTGGACTCTGTTATGTGAGGGAGTCACAATACTCTTAGCTCTTGTGTGTTGTTGTTGTTGCGTGTTGTTGTTGTGTATTGTTGTGTGTTGTTGTTGTGATGCCATATGTATCTGTGGTCAAATCCAAACATTTGTAAATGCATCATTCCTCTCTGGACCAGGCTAGGATTGGTTAGAGATTTTTTAATGTTTGGGAGGATTGTGGCGTTGCTGTTTGCTTTTGCTGGCAGAAATCTTGCACTCATGTCTTTCTCTCCTTCCAGGCAACTCTGCAGGCATCACCAGCYGGCCATACAACTTCCTTTCAGATGTTCAACAGTACCTATAAGCTGTATTCATACAGGTTGGTTTTGGGAAAGAGAACATTTTGGAAAGAAAAGCTTGCAATGAAGCCATGAGATGCAGCTGTTTTGCTGAAGTGGGGTCTTTGTGAGCAAGTCCTTAGATCAGAGAGACTTGAGAGCAACCGTCTGCACAGGCTGACTATGGGGAGGGCTAGGAAAAGGGTTGGAGGAAGGTGCTCTTAAAGAGCCAGTTTCTAGTTGACAGACTATTCCCTGTGCATTGCTCAAGGAGAAGTTATCCTGCTGGTGCATCAGCCTTTGCCAGAGATGGGCTAATGTGACAGTGGGTTGTCCCACGCTGTTCTCTTTGTGTGTGTTAGCTGCTGACTCAAAGCATCTTGCTGGGATCATACAGAGCAGACGGGCATGTCCTGCCAAGCTGGACAAGTGCAATAGCAGAGGGAGGATGTTGTTCATGGAGGCTTTTCTCCTTTGCAGTTACTTGGGACTCGGACTGATGTCAGCAAGGCTCGCAATTTTAGGAGGAACTGAGGGAAAACCCTGTAAGTGAYGGGCACTCCTGTAGTCTTGTCTTTGAGCTCGTGTGTTTTGGGGGCTGCCTGGGGACAGGGTGTTTTGCCCTGTTGCGGAGCTCCAGCTGTCACTGTGGCATGCGGACTCCTGTCACTGAACCTGGGCCCGTTTGAGACACGTGCAGAAAGTGGCACTGCATCCCAGGGGGCAGGGATTCTTGCCAGCCTTGTCAGATCTTGGGATGTTTGAATCAGGACTGGGGCTTGGAAGGACCATGGCTGAGGATGTGGGAGTGTGGAGGAGGGCTGGGGAGGGATCTAAAACTTCTAATTTTTTTTTCCCTAATGCTGCTTCCTCTTATTTCTACAGTAGGAGAAGGTGAGGAGCTGGTCAGCCCTTGTTTATCACCTGATTTCAAATCTGAGTGGGAACATGCTGAAATAGTGTACAAAATTAAAGGACAGAAGGCAGGTATAATGCCTTACCACCTCTCTCCCCCTTACGAGGCAAACAGGTTTAGTGCAGAATGAAGTAAATGCACTCTTGGGCACTTGGAAAGGCACATGATTCTCTGTGTGTGATTTTGTATGGCTTCTTCCCCTGAGGCCTGTCCTGTTAAAGAGACTGTGCTGTTTTATCCTGCTCTGTTTCCTGGCATGTCTGTCCACTCCRTAAAGCTGTTGGCAGTAATACAACAGGAGCTGAGCGCTTCCTGAACAGGTCTTTTCAAATCCTCCTGTCTCAAACAGTGCTTTTTATCTCCCATGTGTCCATGCTTATCCCCAGTCTGAGGGTGGTAAACGTTGCCCCTGTAAAGGGATGCAGACCTGTTATTTCAGATTTCTGTGGAGAACTTGTAAGAATTCGGGGTGTTCTGTCGTGCAAAACGGAGCGTGTCTCCTTGCGGAGTCTACATAAATTGTGTGTGTTTAACTGCCTGCCTGTAATTGTCTTCTTTCAGGCGAACCTTTGTATGAGTCTTGTTCCACAAAAGTGGCAAAGATGCTCTACCAAAAAGTGCATAAAACCGAGGAAGTGACGAATCAGGAGTTTTATGCTTTCTCCTACTACTATGACCGTGCAGCAGAGGTTGGTCTCATAGGTAGGCTTGTTTCTGTTTTCATTTCATTTTAAATGGCAAATAATCGAAGAAAAGATAGCAGTGACTTGTATCACAGTACTTTGCTAAGCTGCCGATGAACTGAGTCCTTTATTACACCAAAGTGTAATATTGGTCTCATCTGGATATCAAATGCTATTCAGTTCCATTAGTGATGGGACTGGGGCTTGTGAAAGAAGATTTGCAACTTTTTTTTAAAGTAAACTGGCTACATTTCAAAAGTCACTGATGTCTGATTAACACTGTCATCCAAAACAGAAAAAAAGACTCCATAGAAATGACCAGGTCTTGGATAATAAAGCACATCAAACCTGCACTCACGGATGATTATGTATTTTGCTTCGCTGTCTTTTTAAAGGAAATTGAGATTTTTCAGATATCTCCATGTGTATTTAGGATGCATTCCATCTCTCTTCCACTGCTATACTAGTCTRTCATGTTCAGTAATAGAAAGCAGGTGATAGGATCTCAAGTTACTCTGGGCAAACTTATCCAAACTCAATCACTTTGTTTTCCAAACAGTTTCATATTTAACCTTGAAGAGCACCACCGTCCTTTCAGATCTGGTCAAATATGATGATAGTGTTGAGGTATAATAGAACAGGACAGCTTGTAAAATCCATGGGATTTTTGTTAGGAAACTGGAGAAATTCTGCTTATTTTGAGGCTTTTCAATGCATGTTAGAGCCCTGAAATCAACATTCATGTACCTTGAAATAGTTTGATTTGTCATTGATTTCAGTGTCTCAAGGCTCGATTTCCAGTGTTTTTACAACCTACATCTACAATTGTTTTCATAAACAGGCTGTAAAACAAATTCTGATTTTTTTCTTTGTATTTAGATAAAGAAAAGGGAGGAAGCCTAACTCTTGGTGACTTTRAAACTGCAGCTAAATATGGTGAGTAAAGAATAAAATCAATTAGGACTGGTAATTATATGTAAATTCATATGCAAGTGGCAAATGTGTAACATGCTAAGAAGCTGAGGTTTTTTTTGCCTGTATGATTTTAAGTAAAAACCAGCAGCCATCTGGAGGCCACCAGTCTCCACAGCTTCTCAACCAACATTTCTGTTTATTTTGGAAAATCTTAACTATTATTTCTATCAATTCTTATTTTTGCAGCCCACATAATGCACATTTTACAATAACCTTTAAAAAAAAATCCCTCGGCAACAACTGRTAGTAAATTTGCCACTTAATAGTTGTCATAAAATCATGCTTTCAGGAGAGATGTGGCATTCTCATATTGTTTTAGCATAAACTGTTCAGGACAAGACTCAGATTTTTCTTTTTTTCCAAATTCTTGTTTTTCCAGGCTTTTAACATCACCTGAAATTCCTTAGATTTTTGAATTTAAAGTAGGTTGAGAAAAAAAGTTGCAGGTCCTTTCTGTCTTTCCCTGAACAGTATAAGAAACTCAGCTGTCGTGAGGGAGATGCAGAACACCTTGGTCTTTTACTGTGCCGGAGCTTTACTGGTTGTGCTAACACATTTATGTCATTAACATGTCAAGGAAGGCCAAGCAGAGGGTAAATAGGTTCTATCACTGTGGAAACCAACTGATGAGAGGCATTTTAACAGTCTGAGGTTTTCTAAAGCTGGGCTGATGTTAGGTCTGAGCCCACAGTGTGCACTTACTCTGTTTTCCTCCCCCTCAGTGTGCAAGACCATGGAAATCACAGCGGGAAGTAGCCCTTTTCTCTGCATGGACCTCACATACATCRCCTGGCTGCTGCAAGAACTAGGCTTTGCCAAGAGCCAGGTCTTCAAGGTGTTGTACAAAACTCATTGCAGGGGAGAGGGGGCGGAAAGAGACCCAGGTGACTTTAGCCACTCAGTCCCTGTGATTAGGGCTGGAGTGGGGAACCCTCCTCCATGGTGATAACCAGTGCAATAACCTTCAGCTTCACCCTGCATGCATCTCCATCTCCCAGATATCTTTTTTTTAACTTCTCTTCCCACTTCTCTCTCTGCAGCTTGCCCGGAAAATTGACAACGTTGAAACCAGCTGGGCTCTGGGAGCCACTTTTCATTACATTGACTCACTCAATAGACTGCAACACCTCGAAGGTGGCTTTTGAGAACCCGTTTTTGGAAGCCCAGTGCAGGGGAATCTGGTAAAGGGCCTGYTTTTGGCTTCCCACATTCTTTGGGAGGTTTTAATACGCTGGAAGCCTTTCCTTCTCCCCCTGCCCCAGTGCTCTTCATCACTAGCTCTTTTCTTACAGGGGAGAAAAGAATAAGCCTTGATTGTATGGCATTTGCAGTCAACCTGATGTAAACCCMCATCATCTTTGAAAGAAAACTAGGACTCTCTGCAGGACACTCATGATCTCTATGAGAGAAAAACAAAAAGTCTTTGTGGAATGTGCCTGTAATAATTGCTTGTGATGTRCTTAAGTTGGTGTAGGAAGCGGTCACGCCAGAGAGCTCTTCAACCATCCTGATTTCATTTCAGGATGTTTCTTTTTGCCAACAGTTTTCAGTGATGATTGTTTTTGTTTTTCTACTTGCGTCGTTTGAAGATGAGCTTTGGTGTGCATGTGAAGCCAGTGCATTGATGTGTGTCTGAAATGCCGTGGGGAAGTCTCCGCTCCGCTTTTCACTTGCCAGACTAGCAACGCTCAAGAGAACTTGAGGCCTTTCTCTTCTCGGTGGAGGCAGTGGGCACAAACTGAAACGCAAGCAGCTCTGTGTGGATTTGAGGTGAAGCTTCTTGACTGTGTGGGTAACTGAGCTCTATAGCAGGCTGACCGGGGAGCTGGTGGTGTCTCCTTCTCTGGAGCCATTCAAAAGCTGCCTCGATGCCACCCTGTGCACCGTGGCCCTGCTTATGCAGGGGACCTCCAGTGCTCCCTTCCAACCTTACCTGTCCGGTGAGACTGTGGGTGCTCCCTTACACGTGGCAATGAGAAACAGGCAGCCACGGCRTACAGAAGCACCTGAGGCTCCTGTCATTTGGAGACAGAGGCAGGAGGACAACACTGGCATTGCTGCATCTCAAGGGACAGAAATCCTGGCTGTTTGGCAGTGGGTGGATGTAATAACCAAGACTGAGGTTCAGCCACCACAATAAAGCCSAAGTGCAGCTTCGTGCCTAGGCAAGGTCTATGTGGGGCCTGGACCCAGCCTGTTGAGGTGGGGTTTTGGGTGCCACCTCCTTTCTTGGAGGAATGAATTTGGCTGTGGCTGCGTGGAGCTGCAGCGTGGTCCGGGCGGGCCCCGCAGGCCGTCCAGCGAGTCCCCTGTGGGCAGCTGGGGGTACTGGGGCACAGCCGGCGCTCTGGGGCGCACGCGGGGAGGCGGCCCGGKGCCGCGCACGGTGGCCGCGGGAACGCCCCACGCCCGAGGACGAAGCCGCGGTCGCTCCGCTGCCCAKTAACGGCGGTGCCGGGGAGGGGACGGCGCCCCCGAGCCCCCCCTTCCCCGCGGCGCCATCTTGTCCCCTCCGGCCGCCTCTGCCGCCTCCACAGGGGGCGGCGGGGTGGGGGGGTGGGAGGGGGCGGGTGCCGCCCGCGCATGCGCGACGGGGCCGCTCCGGCTGCGGCGGCGGCGCCGGCTGCGGCAGAGCCGGGCGGGCAGGGAGCGGCACCGGGACCGGGACCGGGAGGGGGGCCGGGAGCGGGGCCGCGGCCATGGCGGCGCCGCGGAGCGACGGCGAGCGGCGGAAGCAGATCAGCGTGCGGGGCCTGGAGGGCTTGGGCGACGTGGCCGACGTGCGCAGGGAGTTCAACCGCCACCTGCACTTCACGCTCGTCAAGGACCGCAACGTGGCCACCCCCCGCGACTACTACTTCGCGCTGGCGCACGTCGTGCGCGACCACCTCGTGGGCCGCTGGATCCGCACCCAGCAGCACTACTACGAGAAGGACCCCAAGGTGAGCGGCCCCCTTCCCTGGGCACTGTGCGGCCGCGTCCCCTCTTCTGCGGGCATCGCCTTGGCCACGTCCCCCCTCCATGGGCGTTGCCATGAGCATGGGCATCGCCTTGGCCATGTTCCTCCTCCATGGGCATCGCCATGGCCACGGGCATCATTATGGCAAAGTTCGCCCTCCATGGGCATCGCCAAGGCCATGGGCATCACCATGGCCACATCCCTCCTCCATGGGCATCGCCAAGGCCATGGGCATCACCATGGCCACATCCCTCCTCCATGGGCATCGCCAAGGCCATGGGCATCACCATGGCCACGTCCCCCCTCCATGGGCATCGCCAAGGCCATGGGCATCACCATGGCCACGTCCCCCCTCCATGGGCATTGCCAAGGCCATGGGCATCACCATGGCCATGTCCCCCCTCCATGGGCATCGCCAAGGCCATGGGCATCACCATGGCTGCACATTGCCTCCATGGACATTGCCATGGCCATGTCCTCCCTTCATGGACATCGCCGTGGCCATTCCTCCCTCTATAAGCATTGCCATGGGCATCATCATGGCCATATTCCCCTCCATGGGCATCACCATGGCCACATCCTCCCTACACGYGCATTGCTATGGCCATCATCATGGCCATGTTCCCCTCTATGGGCATGACCATGGCCACGTCCTCCCTCCATGGCCCTCGCTGTGGCCATGGGCATCGCCCTGGGCACGTCTCCCTTCCAGGGCATTGCCATCACGGGCATTGTCATGGCCATGTTCCCCTCCGTGGGCGTGACCATGGCCGTATGCCCCCCTCCATGGGCATCATCATGACCACAGCCTTTGCCATAGCTATATTTCCCTCCATGGGATGCCGTTATGACCGTGGGCAACATTGTGACCATGTCCTCCCTCCATGGACATCGGCATGGCCATGGGCATCGGCATGGCMACATCCCCCCTCCATGGGCATCGTCATGACCATGGGCATCATCATGGCCACATCCCCTCTCCATGGGCATCAGCATGGCCATGGGCATCGGCATGGCCATGTTCCCCTCCGTAGGCCTTRTCCTGGTCACAGGCACTGCCAYGGCCACGTCCGTAGTGTCCGCYGCGCTTCCCACCGAGCCCCGAGGAGCAGCAAGAGCGAGCAGGGGTTCATCCTTCCTGCCTCGCGCTGGGGTGGGCGTCCCCGCTGCAGGGAAGGAGGCTCAAGCAGAAGAAGGATTTAAAGCTGCACCGTGTCCCTGTTAAAAATCATGTGATATAAAAATTATATACAGCAAAAGCAAAACGTGAGCAAGGGCAAAAGTTTGGTGTTTTTTACCCCCTGCTGTCCGCCCTACAACTACACTTTGATTAGCTTTCATGACATAAGCTGAGGTCTCCCGAGGCTTGAAAGGCCCCTGCAGATGAGTCCTGCTGCTCGTGCTGGCCTTCCGGCACCTCTGGGCCAAGTATTTTGTGTGACAGAGCGAGACGTGTGTGTGCAGCTCGCAGCGAGGCGAGTGCCGGGAAACCTGGAGCTGTGTTGCCCTAGGGCTCCAGCCGCCTCACAGGCTTAGGTGGATTTGAAGCGTCTGTGTCCAGAGCTGCCAGCCCTCCAGACACCCTGGTTGTCTGGCCAGAGACAAAACTCTCAGCCCCCAGTGCTGAAAATGCCCTGGGAAATGTTAATCGGAGACGCTGAAATGCCCAGAGCTCCCTTCCCTTCCCTTGCCTCCTCCTGCCATTCTGCCACGGTCACCCGACTCGTTTATCTTCAGACAGCTCCCAAAGTGTGATAGGAGCATTGGAAAACCATTAGCAGGAAGAGGCCTGGCCTGAAAGCCAGCCAAGTATGTAAGGGGAGGAGGCTCTCCCTGCTTTTCAGCTGGATGAGGATCAGCTTGAGCTGCATGGGAGAAAATATTAGAAGCCCCGTGTAAGCGTCGCTTGGAGCAAGCTGCCCAGCTGGCTGGGTTTAAATGCACCTCTTGGCCTCCTAGATAATTCTCACACTAAGTTAATTAGGGAAACACTTAACAGGCAACAAGATTTTCCTATAGAAGGCTGTTGGCAGAGAGATGTGCAGCAAAGACTTGGCCAGYGTCCCGTGCAACCATCCTCCCGACAAACAAATTGTTCAGAAACAGGCGCTGAGGCCTGTTTAGCAAGCCATCCCTCTTCAGGAAAGCTCTTAAGTCTRCTTTTTTTTTTTTTTTTTAATTTTAAGTGGCTCTATTTGGTGCACCAAGTGATGGGCAGTCCTCCTGCAGGTGAATGAAGGGAGCAGGGTGTAACGTGCTGCTCTTTTCCTTTGCCTCCCCAGCGCATTTACTACCTGTCCCTGGAGTTCTACATGGGCCGCACGCTGCAGAACACGATGGTGAACCTGGGCTTGCAGAGCGCCTGTGACGAAGCCATTTACCAGGTGAAGTCTTATCCCAGGACACCCCCCATGGGGATCTAGGCAGACTTGTCCATGTCTGAGTATTCTGTTAAATTAAAGTGTCACTGGAGATGTTCACACTGGGAAAAAAAAAAAAAAAAAAGCTACTTGGCCACTGTTAGCACCAAGTCAGTCAGAATGGCAAGGGCCTTTTTCATTCAGGCTTGCAGCCTTGTCTGCAAGAGGACAGTGATCTTTGTCACAGATGATGTTGGGGCTTTCCTGTCCCAAATCTTTCCCCTCTCCGCCCTGGCTTTATCTGTGTTGCACATTTAGCCATCCCTGTCACACTGTGCCTGAGGTGTTCCTGGCACAGGGGCTTGAGGAGCAGCTGTGCTATCAGCTCAGCTCCCCATCCTTCACCCTCATGTCAAAGTGAGCAACTGCTGTCCTCGGCGAGGTAGCAGCTCTGAGAATGTGCAGCTGCCTTGTGGCCTCCAAGCACATGCAGCCCCCAAAGAGGCTGCCGACAGCTGAGCTGAGGAGCAGGTTGCCCAAGAGATGCCGAAGATGGGACAGCCACTTCACCCTGGATTCYGGTCAAGAAGCTCTGCTGTGGAGGGGCAGTGGTGTGGGAAGATGCAGTTACGGTGAGAGCTGCAGGAACATGGCCATGACGTTGCTCAAGGCAGGGTGGATATGAAGAGCAGGGAGGCCCACATAAGCAGGCAGGATTCTGCAGCTCCRTTTGTTCCGCCCTGCCGTTTGCCACCCTTTTTCCAAGCCAAGCTCAGTGGACAGGCCTCGCAGCTTGAAGGACTGCCAGAAGACAAGTGTTTTGTTTGATGTCTCTAAGGAAACCTTCCAGTTCAAGGSAAGGTGACGTTTGGTGATGAGCTAAATCATTTTCCAAGTAACTAGGCTGCCCTGAGATGGGAGACTGGTAAGATGTGGAGGAGTGGGTGCAGAGAGAGCCCTGTGGGGGGTTATTTTATGTGAGATGGGTCAATTAGGGATTGGGTTTGCCCTCCTTGGAGAGCAGCCTCATAGCCTGTGAGGGTGACGTGCTGACGGTGTCTTCTGCTGTGGTTATTTTCCCAACAGCTGGGGTTGGACTTGGAGGAGCTGGAGGAGATTGAAGAAGATGCTGGGCTGGGAAATGGAGGCTTGGGCCGCTTGGCAGGTAACRTGGGCAGAGGGGAGCCCTGTCCTCAAAGCCAGCTGCACAGGGGCTGTGCCCTCCTTGTGGATG